ATGATGAAATCTATGACATCTATCACGGTTTAAAAACGCCTCACATGCTAATTATGGAGTTGCAAGTGAATATATTACATCCTACTGTATGGCTTGAAATAATCAGGTGTACATTTGTCCTATAAAGTAAGCGGTGGTTTTACGGTTCTATTTTGAAGACAAATTGAGTGGGTCACGAAATAAAGTTGGTTCCGCTACAGCTACCCGTACTGGATGTACTGATTTTACTTTATGCAGTTTTGCTACCAATCGCTAGTAGTCTCTCTTAGACAGCATCTAATGGCGCAATCGAAATTTCATTCAGACAAATGATGATGATGTTCGTCCATCGCAGTCGATGATGACCCCAACTTCAGTCCTTGTGTGTCCGGGTGTGGCTGACGAGCCCAATTCTAGCCCGGAAGCACCTGCCGCAGACGTCACACTTGTGCTCAGGTAGTGGTTGCAGAGACGGGTTTTTCTCCCTCGCCTTTCAAATAATAAAAATAAAAATAAATAAAGACAAATAATACATAAAATACGCAAGGGTATAATGAAGATCATAACGTTACGTTGTAACATTTTTTCTTAGTATCATGATCATATATTAATACAATATTTTTGTGTGATAACTCATTGCAGTTTTCGAAAATGCGACTGTCTGCGGTGCTAAACACACTTCCGGGTTTGGCGGGACTTTCCGTGCGGGGATTCCCCCTTACTAATGCCACTCTCCTGGGCGTCTGCGGGGAGAACGGACGTACTGTACACTGGAGGTTGTCATCACAGTTTTTCACACCCGTGAGTCTGTGGAAGTGTCTAGAACAATGCAGGAAGCGCACAGAGAGATTCTAAGGAAGAACAGGACTTTCCTGGTGCGGGAACTGGAGCCCAAACTGCTGTACGACTACCTGGTGGAACATGGCATCTATAATGACGTCATGTTGGAGGACATACGGGTAGGTTAAACACCGTAAAACGTTCAAATATTCAAGTCACCAAGTGTTCAATACCTAGCAATGTTCTAGCCAGGCCTTTTTAAGCATAGGGGCCCCCTATGCTATGATTTTGACCCCCTATGCTATAATTTTACCCCTATGCTAAGTTTCAACCAGCATAGGGGGTCACTGTTTTGGGAGGGAGAACCTTCATAAATCTTGCAAAAATTGAAAATATAACTTTAGAATGATAAGCTATAACAGTTAGCAAAGGGAAAACCTTAACTTCACAAAATCTGTTCCACATTAAACAAGAAATAGTGGCACTGGGGGTTATGAGTTTCAAAATTTTTCGGCTCAATGCGTGATCGATTTGCGCCACGAAAGTTGCTCTTCTGTACCTGACCCCTATGTCATGAAAAATTCCTGGCTAGAACACTGCCTAGAGAGACAATTGAGCGTAAACCGGCACCAAGAGACCACATTTAGCGATATATTAGAGACCTCATTAGACGCTAAACAAGGACAGCAAAAACAAATGTTAATGTTACTGAAGCAAGGACAATGTCCTTTAGATTTAGGACATTTTAGATCAAATGTCTCCTCCCCAGAAGCAAATATTAGTGTTAAACATTTGGTTGTCTTTCCACTGCTAGGAGAGCTAGGACAGATCATAACGTTAACGTTAAATGTTATCTTTACTCTTACTTTACTTTATCCTTCCGCTTGTGCCTGGTGGGGCGTCGTGGGGAGATGTAGTCGACGTTCCACTGCCAAGTGTGTGGCCTCCCGGAGTGTCATGCCGTGTGCGCTGAGGGTCTCCGCTACTCCATCTATCCATTGGCGGCGCGGTCTCCCCCTGGCTCTTACTCCTGAGTGCCTGGTAGTGTAAGCCCTTAAGGCTGGCTGGGTGGTCGGCATTCTCATCAGGTGGCCAAACCACTGAACCCTTTGTTTGGCAATGAACTGGAGAACTGGTTTGTTGTCAACCAACTGTCTGATGACTTCGTTTCTGACCCTGTCCCTCCTTGTCTTCCCTGCTGCTCTTCGTAGACACCTCATCTCGCAGCTAGTGAGTTTCCTCTCCTGTGTTTTGCTGAGAGTCCAGGTTTGGCATTGGTAAGTAAGGGTGGGTACGAAGATGGTGTTTATCAGTTTGGCTTTGATGTCCATGGACATACTTGTGTGCTTTAGGAGGGGTGCCAGTTGGTAGCTGACGGAATTTGCTTTCTGTATCCTTGTCTCTATCTCTCTGTCCATCTTTCTGTCTTCAGTAAATATGCTTCCCAAGTATTTGAACTCTGTGGTCTGCTTCAGAGGTTGTCCATTGACTGTGATCTCCAGTTTCTCCGGGCAGCGGCCAACTGACATTGCCTCTGTCTTCCCAATGCTGATTCATGTCATGGGATCTGCAGGCTCTGTTTAGATTGTCTGTGTGATGTTGGAGCTGGGCCTGGCTTTCATTGAGGAGACCTTGGTCGTCGGCAAAGAGCAACTCATTTAGGGATACTGGGTCAGGGTTAGCCTCCTGTGTGATTCTGTCCATGTAGACTATGAAGAGTAGAGGGGAGAGGACACACCCCTGCCTCACTCCAGATCTTACCCAGAACCAGTTGGAGAGACCATTTGGTGTTTGTACTGCACTCTGACTGTTGAAGTACAGTGCTCTTATGTTCTCTAACAGTTGTCCTTTTACACCATACTGTTCTAATATCTCCCAGAGTTTGTTCCTGTTCACCCGGTCAAAAGCTTTTTCCTGGTCTACAATGACGAGGTGGATGTGCTTTTGGTACTCGTAGGCCTTTTCACTTAGTTGTCTGAGTTCGAAGATTGCGTCCGTACAACCTCTCCCCTTCCGGAAGCCAAACTGCGCTTTGCTGAGCAGCGGGTCCACGATAGCTCGTGTGCGTTGCTCGAGGATCTTTGCAAATGTTTTTCCTGTGTGGCTTATCAGGGAGATACCTCAGTATGTGCTGCAATCTTTCTTATTCCCTTTCTTCTTCCATATTGGCACTACGATTGATTTCCGCCAGTCCTCTGGCACACACCGTTCCACCCAAACTTTCTGGAATATGCCAGTGAGCCATTTGATGCTGGTCTCACCACAGGCTGTGATGGCCTCTATAGGGATTCCATCGATCCCAGCAGCCTTGTTCTTGGGGCTAGACTGGACTGCTCTCTGGACCTCCTCCTCTACATGTAAGATGTTGGGCTCTGTGTGTTCTGCAAAACTGGGGGTGAAATGAGTGTTACTAGTGTTGCCCTCTCCGGGGTTAAGAAGCTCCTCAAAGTACTCTTGCCATCTCTGACTGATTTTGTGTTCCTCATATAGAGGGTTTCCATCCTGGTCATTTATAGCAGAGGTAGGGTTGAAGGGCTCGTCCCTGAGCCGCATAGCTCTAACGCTCCTGTAGAACTCCCTTGGAGACCGTTTGCAGAGCTCACTCAGCTCCTGGCCGTAAGCCTTCCATGAGTCGTCCTTTGCGTCTCTTGCCGCTCTCTTACTCCTCCTTCTTGCAAACCTGTAGTTGACATAGTCCTCATGTCTCTGTGATTTTACCCAGATTTTAAACATCTTCTTCTTTTCCTTTACTGCCTCCTTCACCTTGTCATTCCACCATTTGGTGGCCTTTCTCTGTCTTCCACGTCTCTTTGTCCCACATGTGCTCTTGAGGCATTCAAGGAGTGTGTCTCTGAAGGTAGACCAGGTTTCTTCTGCGGTTTTACCTCTTGGGTCTATCTGCTCTAGGCGCTCTTCTACTTTCTGTTTTAATTGTTCCTGTGTGTCCGATCTCCTCCTTAGTTTGTGCAGGTTGATCTGTGCTGAGTGTGTTCTGTGTACTAGTACTGGTCTGTGATCTGTGTCCAGTCCGGCATTAGGTATCACTCTGGCGTCCCGGATTGTGGCCCTCCTGGATGCCCTGGTGAGAATGAAGTCTATTTGAGACAAAACTGTCAAGTCATTCCACTGGTACCAGGTCTGTCTGTGACTAGGGCGGTGCTGGAAGAGGGTGTTTGTAATGACCAGGTCGTGCTCTGCACAGAGACTTAACAGCTGGTGTCCATTGTAGTTACATTTTGTGCTTCCGTCACTGTGGGGGCCAAGGTGTATGCTCCATGGGTCTCTTCTGCTTCCTACTCTACCATTGAAGTCCCCCATCACCACTACTTCCTCCTCATCCGGCACTTCTGAGAAGCTGTCTGAGAGTTGACTGAAAAACCTGTCCTTTTATTCTTCAGTGTAGGAGTCATTGCATGGTGCATAAATCTGGAAGTAGTTTGAAGTGTTGTCCTTTTCCTTGATCGTTATCTTGATGATCCTCTCTGAGATGTAGACCGTGTCTGTGAGACACTTTGCTGTGTCCGGGTGCAGGATGATTGCTACCCCATGGACTGCCCTTTGGTTCATCTCCACCCCACTCCATACTAAGACAAAGTTGGAATGGATTTCCCTGCAGCCTTTCCCCTTCCTTCTGTTATCAGATATGCCCATGACTGAGATGCTACGTCTTGTCATAAAATGTGTGTATTACCAAGTCTATGTGTGGTGCTGAATGCTGGACTGATCACCGTTTGATAATCTCCAAGCTGCGTGTCCGCATACAACCCAAGAGGCGCCCACAGGGGATGAAACCTGCAAAACGCCTCAACACCAGTAAACTGAAGAATGACGAAATAAAACAGCAGTTTGTAAACCAGCTGAGAGACAGCCTCGAGACAGTCTCACTAGATGACCAGAACATAGAAACCAGCTGGAACAAGGAGAAGTCGTAGACATCATCCCTCCATGAAATAGCTTGTTATTTTGGTGTATTTCAATAGAGATATTATGAGTCAAACTTTGTTTTTATCAGCAGAATGATTTGTGGTGGCACTTTGTATTTATCAAGCTGTCATGTGCAGGCGTTTAGTGTCTTGTTACCATGGTTTGTTTACTTTGATGGCCAGTACTACTGTACCATCCCCAGTAGTATATTCGCAAACTCTATAACTGTTATAGAGTTTGCGAATATGCTACTGGGGATGGTACATAGGCTACATTTGCCTGTACATGTAGGTCAATGACCAGGTCAAATGACCTGCAGACCAGACAAACAAGATTTATTTTCCTGCATCTCTGTCTAGGGGTAAAAATAGATAGGGCTGCCTGGGGTCTGCCAGCTGGAAGGTATAAACAAAAACACTCTGTCCCAACTTTTGGGTCAAACAGACCATCCTATTATGGAAGTAGGGGTGAAAAAGTGGAAAATCCTTTAAATTAAGCAATAAAAATATGCGACAACCTGCTAATGCACTCCAAAACACAAAGAGACTCAACAACTACCCACATACCAAAAATCATACCAAACCATCCCCCAGATTTTCCAAACATTCAACACAAAAAGTCCAACATTAAACATTTTGTAAATATCAAACGCAAACAGCTAGGGGACCCAAATTTAAACCACTAAACCATGGTAATAACAACTACATGCTACCTTAATATCGCACAAACAAGTCCATAACGCGAAAACAACAGAATAAAAAAATTAAACTGCAGTACCAAGGTCAATCACCAGGGGCTCAAAGTCAACCTACACAATCTCCAAGGCCCCATCCATCAATCTGCCAATATCGTACAGTTCCTTCTCACCGATCTTCAGATATCAGACCAACATGAAACGAGTAAAACAGTACCCCATTTTCATGGAGGGTAAAAACCTGAGTCCTCAAAGATGGGTTGGTGGAAAAACCTGTCCAGTCTGGACTGGTCTAGGGGGGTGGAAAAACCTGTCCAGTCTGAATAAAGGGTCTGCATGGGGGTTCCTCTCAATGCATAATGCTACCTACCAGCAGCATTGCCAACATTTACCCCCTTATCACCAAGCTGATTGTTTTAACCTGTCAAACAATATCCAACTTTACTGTACTTTTGCTTGGAGATTATGTTTAAAGGTGGAGGATTGTCAGAAAACTTCTGGGATAAATTACAGTGACAGTACTCTAAATGTTTAAACAAGATAGGTTACCCCCACGAGGTTATATTCAACATTGGATAAATCCAACATTTGAGAAGTAAAAAACATTCTGAGCACATATTATAGTTAGAGAATCATTTTTCGCCACCTGGCAAACTAAATCAATGGTTTAAAGTTTGTACTACCCGGTGTGTCATCCCTGCAATTTGTTTTAGCACATGATCAAGGACATAATTGATATTGACCAGTCCTGCTAAAATGGTCTAAAAGAACATATTATTTCCAGACTAGTATGACTCATCACTTTTGGTGCCTACTTGGAAATCTTACAAACCAGAAACTGGGCACGGCAGTGACCAGCCAATCTCTTACATTACCAGCATTCAGACTTTGTGAGACTGTGCAAGGGCATATACCAACCTATATGTCCTTAGCCTGTGTCCCCTTTTCATGTGCAGCCACACATTCATGTCATATCCATTGTCTAAACATAGAAGTGTCTTGAATAGCGGCTATTTGGACTTCCTATCAAAATTAAGCCTAGACCCCATGCAGACCCTTTTATCAGACTGGACAGGTTTTTCCACCCCCTAGACCAGTCCAGACTGGACAGGTTTTTCCACCAACCCCTCAAAGATGCCATCCATAGCACAGCTCTGGGAACTCTCGGACCAACAAGCAGAAACCACAAGGACTGGTTTGATTGAGAACAGTGATGAGATCCAAGAATTGCTAAACAAGAAACACAGACTGCATAGAGCATATATAAATGATACAAAGGATACATCCAAGAAAGATGCATATACCACTATAAGAAACACAATTCAGGGCAAGCTACGTAAGATGCGAGACACCTGGCTTAAAAACAAAGCTGATGATATCCAATGCTATGCAGACAAACATGATCTGAAGAAGTTCTATGATGGCCTAAAAGAAATCTATGGACCGTCATCAACAGGACTGTCTCCTCTGCTCACTGCAGATGGAAATACGTTGATTACTGACAAGGAAGACATCTTGAAGCGATGGGCGGAACACTTTGACAATGTACTAAATCGCCCTTCAGAAATCAACAATGAAGCAATTGATCGTCTTCCTCAAGTCCCCATAAACGACGAACTTGCTGCGCCCCATACCTTATTGGAAACACAGAAGGCCATAAGCCAACTGTCAACTGGGAAATCACCTGGTCGAGACTCGATCTCTGCTGAAGTCTACAAGGAAGGTGGCCTAGCTGTGAGTGACAAACTTCACCAGCTGTTCATCATTGCATGGGAGCTAGAGACAATCCCCCAGGATGCAACAATAATACACCTATACAAGCGCAAAGGCAACCGACAGGTCTGTGACAACCATAGAGGCATATCTCTCCTCTCTGTAGCAGGAAAGATACTCGCGAGGGTTCTCCTCAATCGTCTCATAGCACACCTTGACCAAGGATTGCTTCCAGAGAGTCAGTGTGGCTTTAGGAAAGATAGAGGAACCATTGACATTGGTCTTTGCTGCAAGACAGTTGCAAGAAAAATGTCAGGAGCAGAACTGTGACTTGTTCTCTACATATGTCGACCTAACCAAGGCATTTGACTCTGTGTGTAGGGAAGGCCTGTGGAAGATCATGGCGAAATATGGATGTCCCCAAAAATTCATCACTCTTGTAAGTCAATTCCATGATGGTATGCAGGCATGTGTGCGAGACAACAACACACTATCTGATGCATTCCCTGTCACAAAGTGGCGTGAAGCAGGGGTGTGTGTTAGCCCCGACGTTGTTTAGCATCATGTTCTCAGCGATGCTAACGGATGCCTTTAGGGAAGGAGATGTGGGAATTGGCATCAGGTACAGAACTGAGGGGAAAGTGTTCAACCTAAGGAGGCTCCCAAAGCCAAAACTAAAGTACATACAGTCATCGTTAGAGACTTCCTGTTCGCAGATGACTGCGCACTTAATGCTGGCTCAGAACCTACCATGCAGTGTAGTGTCGACAAGTTCTCAAACGGATGCGACAACTTTGGCCTGACAATCAGCACAAAGAAAACGGAAGTACTGCACCTGCCAGCACCAGGCAAACCCTATGTGGAACCCACCATTGCAGTCAAAAACACAAAAATCAATGCTGTCAACAGATTTACTTACCTGGGAAGCACCCTCAATCAGCATGCTAATATTGACGATGAAGTCAATTCCAGGATTGCAAAGGCAAGCACTGCATTTGGACTTCATGACAGTGTTTGGAACAGAAGTGGGATCCGTATGGAAACAAAACTTAAGGTGTACAAAGCCATTATACTCCCAACACTCTTGTATGCGTGTGAGACATGGACTGTGTACCGACGCCATGCCAGGAAATTAAATCACTTCCATACCACCCACCTTAGGAAGCTGTTGCGCATCAAATGGCAAGAGAAAATACCAGACACGGAGGTTTTGACTCGTGCAGGTATGCCGAGTATTCACACCATTCTGATGCAGTCCCAGCTTAGATGGTCAGGACACTTAGTCCGTATGCCAGACCATAGACTGCCCAAGAGACTGTTCTATGGTGAACTTGAAGAAGGTGTACGGTCACGTGGTGGACCAAAAGAAGAGGTACAAGGACTCTCTTAAAGCATCCCTGAAAGCCTTCAACATAAAGGCAGACTCGTGGGAAAGACTTGCCAGTGACCGACCACTGTGGCGACGCACAGTTAGAGAGGGTGCCGCTACCTGTGAGGAAGCACGCAGAACTGCCGCACAGCAGAAGAGACGAGCCAGGAAGGAGGGTGCTGCCGGTCCTGTGGCGAACACTGCTCTGTTCTCCTGCCCGCACTGTGAGCGCCGGTTCCGGGCAAAAATTGGACTCTACAGTCACCTGAGGACACACCCTACTACAGAGGGATGACAAAGCGGTCCTCATCAACCTGACGGACGAATGACACTATTTCTTGTTCCTTGTCCCTTAGACCACTCACGTTCCATGTCCCTATCTTTGTCCAAGCCTGTCCATTTCCGTTCCGGGTCCTTTGTCCATTTTGATCCATCCGTTTACATCTCCTTATATTTCTACGAGCAATAAATAATCCACCGCCGGCTTGCTGGGCCTGTCGCAGCTTTACCAGAGCCCCGTTAGCCAGATGTTTCGGTGTGCCGATGGTATGGGCTGTCCTACTCCATCTGTTACCACCTCCCACGACGAGGACGAGGGGTTGGATTTTGGGAGGTAAATGTTATCATATAATAAAAACTGACTAAACTGCAGTCTCCTTCTAAATCAATGTTATATTGAATAACAGTTACTAATGAAAGTGATGAAGAGTGATACACAGTTAGTCTCTGTTGAAAATCATGTCAAGGCAAAATCAATCTGTTTTTCCTCATTGAGTCCTGAGGTAATGTTATGTAGATAATCAGTTTTCCTTCAATAGGCTAAGTACATGTATTACTAAGTACTTATAATAGTAGTTTATTCAGCTGGGGTTTCCGGAAAAGGCGAGGCAGGCTACCTTGGGAGGCTAACATGGGGATTTCTCTGTGAAAATGAAAGTGACTTGGGTGACCATCCCTGCCTGCCCCAAGTACTTATATTAATAAGTACCCATCTGGTGAACTGAAACTGGTGCCAAAATTAATTGATGTCAGTCAGTAAACAGCGAGCTGTCTCTTTCACGTTACAACTCGACCACCACGAAAAGCGGCCATCATGGCTGAATGGGGTGATATATATTGTACATATGATATATCATCGAGTATAAATAAAGGCACAAACAAACGTTTTCCATAGGGTTTATAAAGCTTCTATTGCAGATGAGCAAAATTTGAATGTGCAATAATGTAACTGTTGTACTGGGTTTACTGTGAGAACACTGCCAGTTAATTGTCTTTTTCACCTATGAGATGGAATTGTTAATGTTTGGCACACAGGCAGAGAGGACCAGGTTTGACCAGAGTACCAAACTGCTGACCAGTCTGACCAGAAGGGGTCGAGATGCCTTCAGAGTCTTCTGCCAGGCACTTGATGACTCAGGTTAGTCCTTAAAGCCTCGGTCACAACCCGCCGTATGTGCTTTTGTGGGGAATGTGGGGAAGGAGTGGCATTGACGCACATCACTCGCACGGTTTCGCAAGGTGTAAGAGTGTGGTCTGCACGCCACGTCTGGCTGTGAGCGGTTGCGTGCATCGTATGCTGCGCAAGTGGTAAGTGAGTTGTACGTGCTTACAACGTACGATCTCTGTGCGATTGCAACTTTACCGTAAGGAGGCCGTACTCGACTCACACGTGCTTCTTCCACACGGCACGTACGGGGCACGCGCATAACTCATACTCGCACGCACGGGTTGTGAATCCGAAAGTTTTTCATGCACTTAAAGTTTTACGGCGTGTCTGCGTGCTCCCAAATCCGTAGGATTCCATACGGAGGCGGAACTCACCACGTCGCATGGATGCCCTATGTTTGCCCATGTTTTTGCACGTAGACAGCACGCAGAAGCTCGTACGGCGGGTTGTGACCGTCGCTTAACAGTTAACTATTTGCCTTTTTAATAGACTGGTTTGTAAACTACAGCTGATTAGTTATTATATGTTTAGTTATTACATGTTTAGTTATTATATGTTTAGTTATTACATGTTTAGTTATTATATGTTTAGTTATTACATGTTTAGTTATTATATGTTTAGTTATTACATGTTTAGTTATTATATGAGTTCTGTATCTACAACCAAGGATTTTACAAGTTGGCAAGCATTATAACTCTCAAATGTATGTTTCTCATTGATCATGTAAATAAGATCCTCATCTGTATTTTATTTCAGTTGATAATATTCTCCACCCAGTGTCAGTTTCATTTTGACAACGAAGCTAATCATAACATTTAGTATGAATTATTATGCAAATGAGGTCCTGATTTGAATAACTTTTAATTTCATAGCATTTTACCATAAATTATGCAAATAAGGTCTTTATTTACATATTCCATATCTGACGATGTTCCACTCATTATCAATTACTCATGTCGTAGGTTTGAATAGTTCTATCATGGAATGAAGCAGAGTTACACGAACATTGTACCCCACTTATTTCCAGTCACGGTGCCTAAGACCTTTTAAGTTTAATACTATTCAAAAATCATGAACCTGGCAAAGGTAACCATGTTAATCTTAAAAGCAGTACAAGAACATGCAAACTTTTACATTGTATTTTGAACATGTAACTGGGTAGTGATAGAGTGAAGATGAAACATGATGAATGAAGATGACAGCTTGCATTGTCCTCCTGCAGGATGATGATGATGAAGATGATGAACTGACAGGTTAATGACAGAAGCCTGGGGAAGGTTTCCTCCTGTTGATGATGTAGTGGACTGCTTTTGTTGCACCTGTAGGGCAGTATGACATCGCAGATCGTCTTCTCAGCAGAAGTCAGGAAGAACGAGCAGAGATAGAAGCAAGAAAGAGGGAAGAGAAGAGACAGATGACACGGGGGTATACTGCAACTGTCTCTGCTACAGCTGTTCACACGTCCAGATCAGGTGAGGTTTGGGGAATTTGAGAATAGCACATGACCTATATACACATGTAAGTCAAGGATGTTACATCAAATGTGAAAGTTGTAACTCAGTAGATTTTAGTAGTTGCAACTTGCCAGTATACGCTGTATATACATGTACATGTATGTACACAAGCATGCATGTAAGTTACATGTAGTTCATTCAATGTAGTACATTACGTTAGACTGCTTTTTGTTATTTAGAATGAAATCTTCTTGCAGCATCTCAATCTACCTGCCTTTGTAGTGTGAATGTTTTTAATCCTACACCGTGCTGTATTTTATTTAAATGTATTCTATATCCACAACTATTATGTTTGCTGGAGTATCAGATAAAACAAAATCATAAATGTGACATCCACTTCCAGCTCAACACAATTGTTTACAAGCATTACGGTAGATAAAGATTGTTTTTCCTCTAACTTGAGTGTATGAAACATGCAGTAACTTAAAAAGCTGCCATATTGAGGGCAGAGTTGGTATGATCTAATGACTCAGGAACCTCTCCACCCCCATGAAACTCCTTCCTCTTCGCCCCCGCCATTCTGCTTCGCCCCCGCCCCGTTCTGCTTCGCCCCCGCAAAAAATCTGCTTCGCCCCCGTCGTTCCTCTACGCCCCCGGCGCAATTCTGCTTTGCCCCCGTCCTTCTGCTTAGCCTCCAATGGCGGCACAGCTCACAGTCGACACGAAAATCGCCTGCAAAATAACAATAAAGGCTGTGCCGCCAAATTTAAAGTAGCCCATGCTGCGGCAAACATTCTGGACCACCTTTCTGCCAAGTGGCGTTGCACAAATCCTTGTTGTATGAGCAAGTATTTCACAGTAGTAGAAAACTATTAATTAAAAAAAATATCAACAGATGATTCATACATGTCTTTTGCTAGGTTTGTGTCACTTTAAATTTACAGCAACAAAAAAATGCAAAGCTGAGCTAAAGTTAGCATTAAAAAAAATGTCGTCGATCCTTACAGATTTTTTTCTTTATTTCCATTTCCCCAGGTGCGGTTCAGCCCTCAGGCGGCCATGAGGACACACCCTGGCCTGCAGCTGGTGATGATGGTATCTATGATGTGAAGAGATTACTGAACAGATGTACAACATTGCCTTCCTCCAATCCAAGGGTGAGTTGAAATAACCTCCACATTCTGTTAAACCTGCAAAATCAGTCCAATTAGCCTCCACAGTGTCAAGCCAAAGTCCATGCAAGTGATTTTGAATCCTTACATGTAATACTTGTTCAGGAAAGAGGCACCTCTCAAACCTTATAATGTATCCCTAGACACATATCCATCTATTTGAACCTGAAATCTATACGTTGAAAGATTTTTGTCAGGAGTTGTACATCTAAACCTGGTAAGACAACCACCTCTTCATGGCAACCAAGAGAGCTTTTTCTCATGATCATTCCCTTATAATACACAAGCATCAAGGACAACTGGCTGACTAATGCTAATGCAGCCAGCCAAGTTTGTCACCTTGACAATGTTTTCACTGCTGAAAGTGACTTCAAGTGACCAGCCTGTGACCACAGAATCCCCCCCCCAATAATTATCGGGAAGTCACGATAAACTTTCAGGCAGTTAGAAGTCTTCAAAAGGGTCCCTGGTCCAAAATTGGTCAATGGATAACAACTACATATAAATATATATATAAATATAAATATATATATATATATAAAATATATGTGTGTGTGTGTGTGTGTGTGTGTGTGTGTGTGTGTGTGTGTGTGTATATATATATATATATATATATATATATGTTGCTTTGGCTAGTTTAAAGATTGAAACATAGATTTCATTCATACATAAGCATGCAAAAATTGTATGTTTCTATCAGTTTTATTAAGTCTCTAGTCACAACAGAGTAAAAGTAAGCATACTGTAATTTTGCTTATCAGACTTACAGTACGTTTGCTACACATTCCAACAAACTAAAGCGACGGTCACAACTCGCCGTACGTGCTTCAGCGTGCTGTCTACGTGCAAAAACGTGGGCAATCGCACGGCATCCGTGCGTGGTGAGTACCACCTCCGTACGGAATCCTACGGATTTGGGAGCACGCAGACACGCCGTAGAACTTTAAGTGCATGTAATACTTTTTCTACGTGCGGTCTGCGGATTTACCACCCGTGCGTGCGAGTACGTGCGACGCGCGTGCCCCGTACAGCCTATGAGCGTGCAACGTACGGACTCCGACTTCACTATTCTCACGTGCAATTGCTGTACGGACAGCGCACGAAGCATGTGCGTGCCACGCACGGTGCTTGCGTCATCCGTGCTTACTCCTCACTTCCCAGTTGACCTGCTCAATGACCACGCAGAACACACGTGCACCATACCAGGTGCTCCGCACGTGCAACGCACGTGCAACGCACCTGATTTCTACAGTATATAAAGACGACTTGACCGGCGACTGCCAACTCGTCTCCAAGATGCCCAGGAAGGCTCAGAAGAAGACTACCAGACAAGACCCAAAGAAACGGGCCGCGGAAGACACCAGGGCAGCTAGTGATGATGAAGTTAACAGGAGGTGCACGCACTTACAATGTGCGAGTGAGTAAGGAAACCGTGCGTACGCCGCACGTGTAGGTACGGCCTGTACGCGGCAACGTAGCAATCGCACAGAGATCGTGCGTTGTAAGCACGTACAACTCACTTACCACTTGCGCAACGTACGATGCACGCAACCGCTGACGGCCAGGCGTGTCGTGCAGACCACGTACGTACACCTTGCGCAACCGTGCGAGTGACGTACTCCCTCGGCCGGCCACCCTACGTTTGCAGAAAAAACGTAGCAGACGTAGCCACGACAAAAACGTACGGACAAAAAGCACGCACGGCGAGTTGTGACCGAGGCTTAATGCAGGATTGCAATGCCATCTTGGCACCTTACCTGGTTCAAAATTCACATTTTTACCCTTGGCAACCTAGTCATATGGATAATAGCAATACTAGTGCTTAAGCCAGTTACAGCTTGAATTTATGGGATCATTTGCCATTTCACAGACAATGCTTCGGGTACGTTTTGTTGCCCCTGTAAAGCCTTTGCCTATAAATGTTGGTCCGAGAATTTGTAAATTCCTGTGCAGTGTCATAAGGCATGTCTGGACTGTCCTCTTACTGCAAGTCTCTCACTGACAGAAGCCTGTCTATTGTGACCGCCTGTGTTTGGTGATCTGCTCTGCTCTGTCCTTCAATAGGAAGGTTTGACTGTACTTTTACATTGTAGGCCACAGCAAGTAAATTTTATGGATGGCATGATCTGCAGACTCCAAATCTAATGCGAGCGGGCGAAAAAAAACAAGGTTCCTATATTTTCAAATTTTGACTCATTCATCGTACAAATGGTTTTGATTCAGTGGGAACATCACATATACACAGCCAGCATGACATATCACTGCATCACTGCATCCTCTCTTCATTGTTATCTGCTATCCACGTTCCAGCATGGCAACATACATCTCTGCCCATTTTCGGTATGTTGACCACTGTCAGAGGGCAACAAAATTTCTTTTTTTTTTCCAAAATCAGGCGAAAATTAATGTGTGTGCTGATGTCATCCATAAAAATTACTTGCTGTGGCCTTACTGGTGTATCAGAACCTATATAACCATCATGATGGTGATTTATATTTGACCAGGTCTACTCCATGACAAGGAAGCCCAGGGGTCATGTATTCATCCTCAACAACAAGTACTTCGCAGGCTTGCCTCTCAGGGAAGGCACAAACAAGGATGCTGAAAATGTGAAAAAACTCTTTCAGGAGTTATCTTTCACAACAGAGACACACCAAAACTTAAACACTGCAGTAAGTATGGAGTTAATGTTAACTTTCCTCTTTGAGGCATTTTAGCTTTGAGATGAAATAGGAAAAACTTTTTATGACAAAAACAAGACAAGAAATGGTAGATGATTACAAACCTCTAGTAGGGCCTAGGAAACAAAACAGGTTGGGCCTAGGAAAAAATAATGTTGTGTTTCCAGTTTTCCCGACCGACCCTGGAAAAACCTGCCGACCCTAGCTTTTATTTCGTGAATCCCAGCAAATACATACTTTTTTTTAGAGCTGATCAACCTTTTCTAGCTCCATGATCTGACACCTGAGAGAAGAAACATTGTACAATTGGTTTTCCAACATTGATGTTTAAAATATAAGTGTCCTGTGTCCTCATGCAAGCTTTACTTTCTCAAACTGTAAATTGTATGAATTGGATTGATTGATTGGATCACTAGCCAAGGTAAAAAAAAGGAAGAAAGAAAAAAAGATAATCCCTGTACCAACTGAGATAATCCCTAACCCTAACCCTAATTCCTTCTTAAGGGGATTCATGAAAAGTTGAGGAATTTTGCCCAGAAGAATCACGAGGACAGTGACTGCTGTGTGGTGGTCCTGCTGAGCCATGGAGGACAGGGTGGCATCTTCGGTACAGACAGCGGCATCATCAGCTTCCAGGACATCCTGCAGAAGTTTAATGGAGAAAATTGTCCTGACCTTATTGGGAAACCCAAACTCTTCTTTGTTCAAGCCTGTCGGGGAGGTAATTCTGGCTCAAACCTTTATTTTTTTCTCTGTTGACATGACAGATATTATTCTACATGTACTTTTTAATAAAGGCATAACTGTTGAACTGTCTTCTTGACCAAGTCAGTTCTGTGGCAATTCTGGAATATTGTCAATGTACAGAATTAAGAGTAACATGCAATTTTTTACAGCTCTCCATGATTGTGTTTAGTTAACTAAATGTAGTTCAAGCCCTTCCCACACTGTTCGGTGTATAGGATGGTGCCCTTCTTCATTTCTATTGCCCTTGGGCCACACACTGATGGTTTTCAGTTAATTTGAATGTAAGCTTGTTTCTTTCATCCATTTTGCTGTACTATTTTGAGACAGTGTCACTAACCACAGATTTTATGATGATTTATTTTGTTTAGATGACAGAGACTCAGGTGTGACTTCTTCTGACAGTAACATTCCTGGTTCCACACCATCAGACCAGTCCACCCCTGATGCCACTGTTGCTTCACCACAACAAGTATTTGCTCCTAATGTACCAAGTATTGCAGACACCTTTCTGGCATATGGGACACTTCCTGGTAGGTGGAAACAAGTTTGGTCAGTTATGCGGGCTATCAGGCTCACCTGAGTCATACATGTGTACATAATATTGGGCTTGCAGCCTCTGCCACAGGTGGGCCCAGGTTGTTTGCTGTGTAAAGGGATAAATCTCCCTGAGTACTCTAGCGGACAATTGAGTACTCAACAGTTCTCTTTGGATTAGGAATTGCTCTCCCAAATGCTATCTCAGATCTCTTCCAAGTCTCTTTTTTACGACTGTTTTGTTATGTAAATTTCCTATTGTTTGAAAAATCTCTTTCAAAATTACCTGAAAAACATGGCTGCCTTGTTGTTGTTTTCATTGTTAGGGTTAGACGCTAATCCCCATTTAATTATCTATTGTTCAAAACAATAGATTGTATCTGAGGGGGATCCAACCTTAGGTGTCAAGAAGAAAGCTACAGCAGTTCTCTTTGGAGTCTCTTCTAATGGGGACAGAGCTCTTCCAGCTCTCTTTTGGTCTTGTCCTTTGTGATGAGTACTCTCTTAGTACTCTCTTGTCCGCTAGAGTACTCAAAGAGATTTATCCCTCTACATGTAGGGGATTAGGGCCAATTTAGGGGCAGCTCTAGATGCACGCTAACAAATCCATAAACTTAAAGTCATCTTAAAAGGTATTTACTAGAAAGGTAAGTTAAACATTTGCAAGAGAAATGCATCATGTTTACCTTAGCATATAGTCTGCTCTGTAAATTCTTATATGTTCATTCGTTCATATATATTCAAAACACATTCATACATGTAACGTTATATGTGGTCAGACAGAAGTCTAAATCCCTCCTGCTATGAAATTGCAACATGATGTAACCCAACACCAGTTACCATGGCAACAGTCTCAACATTGGTTCAGGTTAGAGGTCACTGTTTGAAGAAGAAGAGGAAGAAGAAACTGAGTAAAAACAATACGTTTTCCTTCGGTAAACATAAATAAACATACCGTACGCACAGTGCTGATTCATAAATTCCGCAAAAAACCGACATGTGCTGGCTTGTCATATATGTCGCTATGTACCGCCGCAAATTCACAATTCCAGCTTCGTATTCTTGTGGTTAAGTAGCATTTTTATTTTTTGCTGGAATTTTTTTTTATTCGTCCGTGCGCACTAGTTTAGGGGTCTTCAGAGGATGTCATCCATAAAATTAAGTCGGTGTGGCCTTAGTTCCAGAACAAGCTGATAGGGGGACCAAAACCACACGGCCTGTTCCTCACATGAAAATCAACCGTAAAAAAATAACGACCATAGCATGTCCAGGACAAAAAATACAAAAAACAGAAATATGCAGTACCAAGGTCAGCCACCAGGAGGTACAAATTAGACCTTGACCTTTGATCATTTTTATTTATTTATTTCATTTTTCATCATTTTTATACAGGGTGGCCCATTAAGTGATTGCACTTCTTTTCAATGGGGCCCTGTTTTACACAAGATCTTCCAAAGACCTACCAACATACCAAGTATCATCTCAATCCATTAAGGCCTTCTTAAGTTAGGCTGACCACAAGTATGTAAAAACACACACACACACACACATACACGCATACACACACACACACACACTCACTCACACAGACACACACACTCACTCACAGACACACACACTCACTCACACACACACTCACTCACTCACTCACTCACACACACACACACACACACACACACACACACACACACACACACACACACACACACACAGACATTTTCACTAGGTAACAATTGTCCCCTTTCCTATCCAGGGTTTGTCTCCTGGAGGAATTCAGACAAAGGCAGCTGGTTCATCTGTGCCCTGATGGAAGTGTTCCTGAAGTATGCAGCCACAATGGACATCAATCAGCTGATGACAGAGGTGAATATGATCATCCTTTATTCAACACATTGTCTTTTAGGAAGCTGCCACTAACAATATTTAGTATGACCATAATAATAGAGTTCCATGACCACATACCTTTGAAGCTTTGTGAAATGATTAACCTTTACAACTGATGAATTGTAAACTGTTTCTTATTAGGCCATGTTAATTTGATTATATGGATGACATCCGCGCGCGCATGAATTTTTGGCTGTTTCAAAAAAAAAAAAAAAATTTTCAACCATACTGTAAATCGTACAAAACAGTTGCAAAATGAGCAAAAATATACCGTAAGTTACAAAAAATAAGTAAAAACTATACCAATGTCGTAGAATGCCAAAATCAAACGAAAAAAGACGAAATTGTAAGGAAATGAACTTGAAGATTAGATTATTCGCCAAACCATATTCTGTCCCATTTGTTCAACCCTCATGAGCACGTAGATTTCATAATGAAAACAACTTTTTTTTTGCAAAACTTTTTTTTTATTCGCACCTTTATTTGCTGCATTCCATGATAGGACTGGTAAAACTTGTGACATATGGTTCCGGGTCAGAGTTTAAATCTGACCAGAGTTTAAAAGTGCACAATAAACTGCCAGAATTGCAGGGTTGTCACACCAAGTTTCACCCCCATTGCTTGATGATTGTTAGTATTTTCAGGGATGGTAAAGTTGGACGGCCAGCGAAGCATTTTTGTATTAGTCCTCGAGCAAGAGTGATGCAGTTTTGTAGCCAGGTGACTCAAATAGCTGCCTTCTGCCAAGGTTTCAAATCAAGAGGAGACAGGATGCTGTGCGCTATTTTCAGACCCGCCAGATCCCACGGTGATGCTTGTTTGAAGCAGATGTTTGGTTCAGGCATAATCAGCCAAAATCCTTGGAAAATCTATGCGGATCCCAATAAAGTCAAGTCAAGTCAAATTGAGGGTAATTGACGTAAAATTGAAACTTCACACCTGAGGCAAACATCATTGAACAGCGGTAATCCTGTCTGGTCTCCTTTAAACCTCCTTTTAGTAAGTTGGTTCATCTGATATGAGATTTCCCCACATACTAATGGCAGAATTGTAGCCCTTCAGTCTGATGAACGTGTCCACTGGATATAAAATCATATAAAAACTCAAGACCATATGTAATTGAGAGCATTGGCATATACAATGTATTATCTAATAGATGAAGACCTAATTTGCATAATTAAGGAGAAAATTTAATTCCTTAGTGGTAACTGCAGGGAATTAATTTCATACTTAATTTAAACAATTACTTTATGAAAAGATAACTCAAAAACAGCAGATATAACATCTTTGCCAAGTTGAAGAATAAGCAGGGTATAAAATTCAACATGCAAGAAACTATACTGTACTATTGGTACTTACTATTAGGTCTTTATTGTCAGCCAAATAAACAACAAGCAAGGCTTAATCTAAAAAGTCACATCAATGATTATGAGAATATATTATTTGGTAACTTCTTAGTACTGTCCTACTTCAAGTACAAACATGAGTCTGTTTTGTGTCACATCATGATTATGAATCACTCACCAATTGTGCAGCTCATTGATTCAAGTTAATGTCATACAAATCCAATGTTATTACCTCCTCCGGAGGAGACATCCTTCCCTGGAAGGGTTTTGTGAGAGATTTAGATTTTCATGTTCGCAGCTATTTCTCGCGCTTGGGTGGACGGATTCTTTTGAGACTCAGTATATGTTTTGCTATTGGGCTGCAGATGATGCACGTTCTTTTGTTTTTATTGTATATTATGTTTTCGGCGTGAAAATGGTGCCTTTTGGTAGCCCCAAAAGACCCCTTTGAGCGTTAAAGTGGTTGCGACCGTTGACCTTTGGCGTGTTTAAGCTATTCTCGGTCTGGTCCACGTATAGGACCCCTCACACAGAGGGGTGTCCGGTCTCAATAAATTCTTTTAAAACCCTATTATACAATAAAAAGCCCGGAGATATAAAATCTCAGATTTTGCTTGTTTTAAACATGGAGATGGTCTGCATTACTGATCTAACAAGTGTAATGTGTTCTTCAGGTGAACTACCACGTGAGCCAAAAGATAGGCACCTCCACATCCTACCGGCAGCTGCCAGCACCTGTCAATATGCTGACTAAGAATCTGTACTTCAACCCTGGCGTCAGCCTGCCTTCCTTATCAGATACAACAGATAGAGATGAACCCTGCATCAGGCAGGAGTCAACAGCAGCACGGAGTGTGCTCTCACATGATCAAACTGTGTTAAAAAGCACACGGGGTGTACAGCCTACAGACTGATGATATCAACAATGAAATAGAGTACTGCACTAGTACTGGCATAACACCATATTGTCACCACTTGCAATATACGTGTACATATTGAACTGTGAAGTAAATTTTTTAGAAATTGTTTCTGCTAAAGAATTGATCTTGGAGAAGAATGTTCAGCACTGTTTTCAGTGTTATAAGCTGCTGTAGTATGTTAATTGTATATTTTTGGAATCAATATTTTTGGAATGTAGTTTTTGTGTATGAAGATATCATGAAAGTTCATCTAAATCTGTGGCTAAACTTTACTTCAACACATTTAATTTTTTTCTGAACTACAGTAGTTAGGATCCTCAGGATTATAATGATTGAATTTGTATTAATGTGTCCTGGGCTTTATGTGTCCAGCATGTGTACAATCATGTGGGCTTATAAGTCAATAGTTTTAGGCCACACCAATTTAATATGTTGGCTCTTGGATTCTCCTCTAAATTTTTTTGATTTGCAAAAAAAAAAAAAAATCTGTTTCTGAATCAACTAAAAATGCTGATATTTAGCCCCCAACAGTAGATGAAAGTCCTTTTCTTCCTAGCTGTTACAGTTTTTCCATCTATCAATGCTGTTCATTGCTTAGATATTAACCCAGCCTTTCGCGTTGACTTCATGGCTCCTATCATAGCATTTTGGACTATCATAGGATGCCTAGACCTGTTTTTATTTTTATTTTTTTTGCCCTGTCACTTCATATTTTTTGTGAAAAAATATGTTGCCTTGTACAGGAATATACATTGTAAAGTACATAAGTCTAGAGAACAGAAGTACAGATTTGACATAATCAACCATATCTGAACAACGAAAAAAAGTAACTTACAATGTGTCATTGCATTATAATTCAGTGATGACTTAAAGCCCAAGCAAAGTCAAGTCAAGAATTTTCTGCATGTATTTTATGTATTGGTAAGTTTAGCTATGTAACGTTACATGTACATGTACGTAACTGATAACTACATGTATATACATGTAAAAATGCTCAGTCTGTAGTTATCCTTTTTCTTCTACAAAACATGTTGAGGTGCCAGGTTACATGTACATGTACCATTATGTCCCATGTAGAACTGTGTGTAATAACTGCACAATAAATGTAAGGGAAGAATATCAGGGGAATTAAGCTATATTGACCACTGGAAAAGCGAGGATAATTGGCTGGTACTCAACTTCTAACCAATAGTCAACCTCAGGTGGTCCAACTGTCAACTACAGACATCCTTAAGCTTCAAGTTCACGGTCATGACTTGAAGGTACATGTAGGAAATGGTGACTTTATATGTACGTAACTCTAGAGTGCACTTCAAACATGCATTGTACATTTAATTAATTTACAGCATCAAAAAGATGATGACTGGTTTATTCAGTAAAAACATTTTGCAGCCCGGAGGCTGAATTGCATGTTTCCGTACATTGATCAGTGTCCACCTTAACATTATAATAACAAATTTAAAAACAACTTTAAAATATCCTTCTAGCACAGAGTTTATACATAAAATTGGATTTCGAATTTCCACTCATTAACTTGATCTCTCTCTATATATACATGATAAAAGACTCAATACATTACTTATTTACGTCGACTCATTTAGAAGTTTGACTATGTAGGGCAAAGGGCTGTTGGAGTAGCGCTTCGTGCGTGCTAGAATAGAGTCGAATTTGTTGTTTTGCCTTGTTAACCTCCCCGTTACTTCGCCTCTTGTCTGAGGGAGCCAGTGGTGATAGAGAGTTGACTTGGACAGTTTTTTCCCGAACTCTCGGCACAGGTTTTCACGTCTGTCATATAGACTGTGTAGCCTCAGTACTTTACAGGACTGTTCGTACGAGAGGTTATGTCCCAGGATGATCCTTGTCGCCCGTCGTTGAATCCTCTCTATCTTGTTGTGCTGTGTAATCGTCAGTCCGGGATGCCAGACTGGCGCGGCGTATTCAAGTACGGGTCGGATGAAACATGTGTATATGGTGAGCAAGTCCTCCACAGGTAGGTTGAACTGTCGCAGTCGGCAGAGAAGATGCAGTCTTTGATTTCCTTTCTTTGTAATGTCCATGACATGGGTTCCCCACCCTAGGTCTGCTTGGAAAGACACTCCGAGGCACTTAGCGACGCCCACTACCTCCAGGACGTGACCATGAATGGTGAGGGGAGGTGGCGGTGGGGGTGTCCGGCTGAAGCAAATGTGCATAGCCTTGCATTTCCCGGGGTTAAGCTGCATACTGTTCTTGTCCGACCACGATGCTAGCTCGTCAAGGTCTTTCTGTAGTCTCGATGTTTGGGAGAGACGTCGCGATTCGATGATGTTTAAGTCGTCGACGAAGGCCCAGGTTGGGGACTGTATGATGTCTGTTGAGGTGTTTATATGGGCGATAAACACTATATGGGCGATAAACACTAAAAATATTCCCCACCCTTCCATCTGAGCCATCTCTATTTGCCTGTGAAATATTTACTGTATCAATTTGTATTATCATTAATTACTGTTACAGTATTTTTAACTATAATATCATACTGCACTGAGTGATATTGATTGCTTGAATTTGTTGTACCGGTAGACGCGGTAGTACATGTATAATGCGTGGAGCTCAACATCAGTTAAATCTGGTACTCTGTGGTGTATTACTGTTGCAAGAACAGAGAAAAAGGGGGCTTTTGATAAAAGTCAATAAATGAAATGTGATTCAGATTGTGTGCACAGATCTAAAAGACTAATAGTGTGTCCAAAAATAGCCCATTCATGTGACAACCCTTGACTGTTAGCTTCACTATAAAATTAACGTATTTGATAAATTAAAAATGACATTTAGCAAAAATGTGGTCAGTGACTTTTGCTGAAGCCTGAACTTTAGATTCACCAAGTTTAAATGACCGTGTTTGCAGCAGACTTAAAGGCCAGGAAAGAAGTAGAGATTTTTTTGTAAGTTGGATAAGAACTCTGAAGCCTCCTTGCCTCCTGTATAGTTTGAGTTCTCACAATGTGCTGTCTGTTCAGCCACCATCTTGTTCACCTGGAAAAACAACAAAATGTTAATTTGTAACTTTTTATAGTACAGTGTAACATTGTCAACTAAAAATGTTGATCAATGCTTTGAATGTTTGATTGAACATAAAAATGCTTCTTCTTTACCTCAGATTTATTTTTTTTAACGGTGTCGCTCAATGCAAGGCCAATTATTTTTGGCTAAATTCCCTACCCCTTTTTAGACCATAATGGTTTGTTCCACTTCCGCTCACGTGGGTTCTTTAACGTGCTTGAGGTGTGTCCCTCCTCAAACACGGGACCTCTATTTTAACGTCCCATCCGATAAGACGCCCCTAATCAAAGCTAGGTACTCATTTTCACCTGAGTGAAGTGAGGAAAGTCGTGTAAAGTACCTTTCCCAAGGGTACAACGTCGCGGCGCATGTTCGGACTTGTTCGGGTACGACCCGGAATCGAACCCGGGTCTCCCCGTTTCATAGTCCAGTGATGTACCACTACACCACAATACGCCACAGATATTGAATATATTACAAGCCCAACCTTCCACATGTTGATTACGTTATTCCATTGGCCCAACAAAATCCCCTGCAGTTCATAAAAAAACTGCTGGGGGGCCTAAATCTATGCCACTAAGAACTACAGTTTGGAAAGCTCATATTTCTGTGAAAAATTTATAGCAAAAATTTGTGCAAACTCTTAGACATTTACATAAAATATGCATGTTCATGTTCACCTTCACCTAACTTAAACATGTCAAAGTATGGAATTGCGATAATTTACCAGTGAAGAGTTGTCGCCTTTTCCCATTAAATATCGAAAATTAGTTCCTTCGCTCAGGCTCAAGAATGTACAATGTAAGAATACAACTGACAATCAACATTTTCTGCCCCTCTCTTAGCTTAAGAATATGCCAGTCCAGTATGGGGAGGTCTTCCCAACCACCTGTACCTGTCTGATATGCTTGAAGTTGTTCAACAGTGTTGCTTTAAGATAATATTTGGATAACTGCTAGATAGAGGGGCCCAAAGCATATTTTGTCCAGACGTCAAGACCATGACTTGTCCAGGACAGAAGCTACATTGAAATTACTGCTATCGACAATGATCAATAGAATTTCCTTATTTGCATAATTTGCATTTTATTGTATAGATGTCTGTCTTAGCTACCTACATTACCCAAAATCAAGAAAATCCATTATGTCCCCATAAATTTGACATACTGGGCTTAAAAGCATGTTACTGGAATATGTAATGTTGAGTAACATCAGAGTCCGCAAAGCGGGAGGCCCAGACGGCGTTGCACCCAGGATTGTGAAAATGTTCGCCTGTGAACTCTCAGAACCCGTTACCGACATATTTAACACATCACTTAGAGAAGGAGTCGTCCCAAGTGTGTGGAAAGAAGCTGTAGTAGCCCCCCTTCCGAAAGAGCTCCCGGCAACAGTCAATAAATTGCGCCCAATATCACTTACATCGATATTTGCAAAGATATGCGAAGGATTTGTCGCAAAGTGGACAATGTCTGACATCTGGGCTAACATCGACCTACGTCAGTTCGGCGGCATAAAGAGAAGTTCCACGGCATGCTGCATGGTGAGTCTGATCCACTTTCTGCACAAGGGAGCTGAAACTAGTAAGAACATGGGAACAGTCGTCCTGACGGATTTCAGCAAAGCCTTTGACACTATAGATCACATGCAGGCCATTACTAAGCTACTGAGTATGGGTACGAGGCCCAGTATTGTGCCATGGATTGTCAGTTTTCTCGTTGGAAGGCGCCAGAGAGTCCGATACGGGTCTACACCATCAGACTGGGAAAACTTATGCGCAGGAGTTCCGCAAGGCACAAAGCTAGGACCCATAATATTCCTGTGTATGATCAACGACGCTAGCCAACGGCACAGTGATCGTTGGAAGTATGTGGACGATTTGTCCTTGGGAGAGAACAGACACGTGGGTAAACAGTCTCAACTCCAGAATCAAGTAGACTCTCTCGAGGAGTGGTCGAAGAACGCTGGTCTAAAGCTCAACCCGGACAAGTGTATGACTCTGACAGTGTGTTTCATGAAGAACCCTCCTCCACCATTGCCCATAACCCTGAATGGAACTGTTCTTAAGTCTGTGGATGTTGCAAAAGTGCTAGGGTTATGGCTGCAATCAAACCTGAAGTGGAACAAACAGATCAGTGAGTCAACTAAAAAAGCCAGCAAACGCTTGTTCATGCTGCGAAAGCTGAGAACTTTCTGTCTCCCTGTAGCGGACTTAGTAACTGTATACTGTGGTTTTATCAGACCCGTCTGCCGTATTGCTCACCGGTATGGCACCACAGTCTCACCCGACAACAGACAGCAACCATCGAACAAGTACAAAAACGTGCCTGCCGTACCATCCTTGGAAAGGACTATACTAACTATACATCAGCTCTACAACAGTGTGGACTTGAGACACTGGAGAACAGGAGAGTCAACCTGTGCCGTAAGTTTGCAGTCAGCATGGAGAAGTCAGAGAGAACCGCTGACCTGCTACCTCCAACCCGGGGACAGTCAACCCGACGTGAACTCAGAAACTCTACAAAACGGACTATCCCTACCACACGTACAACAAGATGTAACAACAGCCCTCTACCGTCCCTCTTAAGACTGTTGAACGAAATGAAATGATAGACGTAAGTGCTCTTAACTCTGTAAATGCCTCTCTTGTGCAATTTGTATATGAGATAGTTTAATGTAATGTTTAAATGTACAGTACTAATGTGAATGAAAAAATTTGAATTTCACTATGCTAAATATGTGTAATATCGTGTAAATACTTTTTTAATATGTAACTCTATTACGGTAACCACATCTTGACTCCAAGATTGTGCTGTCGTTAAGTTTTTAAAACAGGATGTACATCTTTGAACGCAATTCAGCTTTATGCTGCAATGTTCTTGATTTTAGCAATAAACCATTTTTGATTGATTGATTGATTGATTGATGTAGATTAAGTGCATTGAAAATAATTAAAAATCCCATTACACTATATATTGCAATTTTACCTTTTTTATATATAACGTTATATCATCCGAAAGTTAACACCTTACTCTTTCTACTTGATATCAGTGTCATTGAAATGTACAACAAGTCCTTACTCAAATTTCACACATGAATATAAGGTGAATTGTAGGTGTCCACTGTAAGTGGGTTTCCAGTGTGTACTGGGGTTTCTTCAGTAGCCTTGAATGGCATATGATTGTGCTGTTCCTAAAACGTTCAGTTCTGAATGATGTACATGTACATATAACATTAGTACTGTATGAGGTTACCATCGTCATCATGTCTGCTACATGAGTATCTGCAGCATGTTGCCGGAAGACTTTGTCAATTGCCTGGATATACCAACTGCCCTGTGTCTCATTTCGGAAGGCCATGTTTCCTGAAACATGAACATCATGCAAGATGTGAAACTGAAATCAATAAATCGTAGTATTTAAGTGACAGCTCAAATCATTTAATTAGATGCACGAAGCCTTGACTCCTGACCTCACGTGACTGAGGTCACTTCTGCTACATGTAAATGGACGTCATGCACACCTATAGAAGTGTCAGTATGACGTTTCATCTGACACTTGAACGATGAAAAGTGACACATTTCATCTGACACTTTAAAGGACATTAAACAAAAATAGGTTATTTCCAATAACAACATGTTTAATTTCCAGTAGTTATAATACGGTATCTTTGCATTTGCTTAATCTCATATTTCCCATCTTCAAATTACCTTCCTGTGTTGCATATCCAAAGAACATGTCTGTCCTTGTTGGTTGATCAACACACCTGGCTGCATCTGGGACATCCTCACCCCCCTGCAGCGTACCAAACAGTTGAGAGGGAAGACTCTGCTCATTCAGACCCCCAGCTGCATCTGGGGCATCTCTTGGAGAAACTGTTCCCCTGTCAACTTTTGCTGCAAAGACAATAATATAACTCACTACAGTACACTGCAAAAGTACAGTGTGAGCATGCAGTTACGAGAATTTCCAAGAACAAAAGTGACATTTGGAAAAGTACAAATGTACATCACAGAGTCGTTACCTCCACGACAACTTTGAATGAAGAAAAGCTTTGGTTTTCCCTGCAGCTTTTGACAATGAATGTTATCAAAAAGGGAAAAGATTTCTTTCAGCATGACTGTCTTGCCATCCTTGCCAATGATGCAGCCCTCTTGGCCATGAGACATCAAGAAGACAATACAACAGCTAACATTTTTGTGATCATCCAGTTTGGAGAAATGTTCCAGTTCCTTCAGCATTTCCTGTAAAATTAATACATTACCATATGAAACACTTTGGAGTACACAAAAAGTTAGCACAAAGATTGTACAAAATTACCCATTTTGAAACACATGTAACGTTATATACAGATTGGCCCTTCTTGGATCAGGAAATGCTTACGGTTGCCAAATTGGTGTGGTGGGATGACAACAAGTTTGGGCTTTTTAATATTATGCAATGATCATTCAGTTGCAAAGATAATCATAATGATATCATTTAGCAAAATTGACATTGTGGAAACCTTAAGTTTATATCTGTCAGTCCTGTGTCAGTATTGTGTAATTTTGGTTTCATGCATACAAATGGAATTGAACAAAACCTATCATGCAAAATAGTCAAGAGATTAAAAATGACTAATAGTTACAAATTGCTCCATGTCAGACACTAACACTAGGCTTACCTGTGCACTTTTGTTCAAAAGCTGCTTCACTGTAAAACCCAGGCTTTTCAACAGGCTGAAAACAGTTTTTACATCAACATCAGCGCCCTTTCTGTCGGAGAGGTTCCCATCAAATATGGAGTTGTTCACAATGAGTGCATGACCTCGAGGACTTGTCATCATCGGGTAGACTGTCGGGCCCTGCTGTATTATATACAAGCAAAATTAGCCCATCACTTAATTTTGCTTGATGTCCTGCTACTAGTATTTTACATCCACTGTGCTACCACAAAATGTCATGTGTTACATTATTAGATATACAAATGTACAATGTCCATGTCTGCCAAATTTAATGTAATGATTCCACATGAACTACCTTAAGACTGCCATGTTAGATAAAGTGGCATTTAAAACACGCTTGAAGTTCCGCTGCAGTACCAAGGGAAGCCACTAGGGGGCCAAAAATCTATCATTTCTAGATGTAGTCACACCCTATGAACCCAGTCCAAGTATGAAACCAATCCATTCAGCCGTTCTTGAGTTATCCTGTTGACAAAATTTACTTTGATAGGGAATGCATTCATGGAATTCTTAGAATATTTTCAACTCAATCGCAGGACTATAAGTTAACTCTGAATATATTTATCTACTAAATGTGGAATAAGCATCAGGCTGAGCAATGATCCCTGAGCTCCTGCTGCATGCTGCTACATTTGTAGTGGGCCCAAAATTTAATGATTAAAAGAGGTCGAAGATCTCATACCTTTGTCGGAGGGACATTGCTCTAGATAAATGAACATTGTGTATTCTTTACTTTTTCTAATATCTAATTTGGTCTAGAGTACAAAAGAATCTCTGTACTCCTTTATTCTGTGGAGCACCCTAAAAGGGTTCGCCACAGATTTTCGCACTGTTACCCGTGTTAGGCCCCCCTAAGTTATTTGATTTTGGACTGTTACTGGAGAAAAAACTGTTACAATAAATTCTGCTTACTGTATTATGATTCGAAGGCAATAAAATATTCCATTTCTTCACTAGCAAAACATCATCATGATTAAAGAGCATTGCTTTTTTGAGAGTCCTATTAAACTACAAAACCACGTTATAACAAATTGAACTGAACAAACTGATGAAAACAGTCTTCATGACATAAATGTAGGTACATGTAGGTAACTGCCTACCTGGAATACTGTAAATTCATGTTATGTTCATGGTTTACATGTATGTAGCAACAGTTTGTGTCTTAGAAAAATGGACATGTTTATGAAACATGTTCAAGGTGGTGGCAGGTGCAGAAAGAGGACAGTTGGAGAATAAGTTGTTAACAGTAATGATAAGTGAGTGACTGATAAATATGCAGAACAGACGTTGCACAGAAAACCTCATAAAAGTACCACAAAAATGAGGAATTACATGACATTGTACCTTGTGAAAGAACTGCCCAGAGGAGGACAGTAGACCTGTGGTCACCCCACCCTGGGGACTTCTGTTGTCTTGATATGAACAAAAAAATGATCATATAAACTTTTTTGGCACTCAATTTGACATTTTTGCTCCAAAATAAATATCTTTAAGTTAATACAACAAGTAGACATAACAGTCATTATCATATCATTCTGTAATAATCTTAATATCCTGGACCCATAAAATAACTGGACATATATATAACTAATACAACAGCTTAGTAAAAAAATTGTAATCATGTTGATCTTTACCTCCCCCACATGTACTTTGAGATGAAGTAGGTTGTTCCAAGGGTGTTCGATGTCTGTCATGTATCTGTAACTGATTCATGTCACCTTCAATACCCAGGAGTGCACCTGGTAAAATAAGGTCCAGTTTAGCAGTACAAATGTAAATTACCAGGGATCCTTACTCATATCTCAGCAATGTTCATTTTATTTGATACACAGATTAACAGTCACTGTGGTTAAGTTGTAGTAAGAATAATGCAACAGACAGACGGTACCTGTGATGGACTGTCACATGACAAGTGACATATGATTCTCTAGATCTGGGATGTGCAGGATACAGACCCAATGCCGTTACCTTTGCCAAGAAAGTGCTGTCCCATATTTTCTAAATTTGTCTACGGTTTTGCAGTTGAGCAGCATAACTCATAATCAAGAAGCTCTCAATGGTTTATTATGAAATTTCGGTAGCACTTATAGCTGTCAGCAATTAACCACAAGTTCAATCAATCGGGTACACATATTTCCAATATCTACCTGTACCTAACCTGCACTGGTCCATGTATTGGGCATATATATATACAATTATATTGTACACATACAGTCATGTAGGTTTTGTGTATAATTGTGGATTTTTATTTTGAGCCATGAATCTAGAATTTCTTTTAAACATATTGCAGTTCACAATGTTACTGGGACCCAGTCAAAAAGCCTCAGATAAAGTGCCTAAACCGTGACTGATTTTATGGTTGTTTGGAACAGACATACAATCATGTATTTTGTAAGTCCTCACCTTTTGCCTCTGTCAAAGCTAGTGTTGTATTTGAATAGCTGACATCATGGCTACTTGTGCAACTGCAGTGACAAAATAATTATTATTACACATTATATAGTGAAGATCAGAATGTCCTGCATGTAGAGTCAGACAGCAATAAACACATGCACATGCATTAATATTATAGCTTAAAGAGGGCCTGCAAGGGGGGGGGGTCCCGACAACGCTCTACGCTGAATTCGGAAATCTCTCGATTACGCTTTACGATAAATTCCAAGTGGCTACAACGCATTACGCAGTAGAATTAAAACGCTGAATACGCTCTACGCAAAAATATTGGAGCGGTCCATCTACATGTATACTCTACGTAGAATCAAAAAGGCCGATCACGCTCTACGGAAAACGGCTTGCGGGTCCCCCTTAAAGCTTTTATGTTGAGTTGGTCAATAGATGCTTCTTTCTCTCACCAGGTGCTGGTCTGTTGTCTCCCCTCCTCCTGTACTCCTGACTTCCAGGGTGGCTCAACCTCATCTGGGACTCCTGCAGAGTGGAACACTCAAATTGACATAATGCTCAGAATTATTTCCTACTAGAAACATCATACCAATGATAAGAAAATCATGAAAACTTGACTATTAAATATCAACTTGAATCTAAATCAAATAATTTGAAACTAGAGTTCCATGGTCACATACCTTTACCAGATGTTGTTAATCGTGAATGTTTTGCAAACTGTCAATGTTTCTCATTGATAATGCAAATAAAATGCTCATTTGCACGATTTAAAGTTGGTCAATTCTCCACCCAATGGCAGCTATCCAAGCATTTCTGAAAAAATTATGCGAAATGAGGTCCTGATTTTTATCTCCAACCCGAAATTTGTGACCCTAGCATTAAGAAATGTCTGAGGCAGCCCATGATAGTCACTATGTCAGCTAATTAGCATATTAATAGTTACATAATTGTAACATACTAACTTCCATCTGTTGTATCTGAGTAGTGGGCGTGTTGCAAATTTGTTTTCTATGAAATTGCAGAGGATGACAAGTGGAAGGACCTGTCAGTAGTCACCATGTTCAGATCACGAGATATCAAAACTGGAAGTTTGACTGCAGTACCATAGTCAGCCACCTGAGGGCTATCTTGAGATCTCATCAAGACCTGACATGTACCAACCTACCAAGTTTCATGATACTCCATCGAACGCTTCTTGATTGTGTATCATGCTACACCACATACATACATACAGTACAACATACACACATACACACACACACACAACACTGCCAACAACATAACCTTCTTGGTGAAGGTAATAACTATTGAACATAATCATGCCAGGGGGTTCGGAAGAACCTCTCCCCCCACACTCAAGGCTCAAAGGTCCACTTTTTGGTACACTTTTTATGTAAAGGTCCAAGATTTTTCTTGAAAAGATGGACTGGAATCGTAGAAAAACTGCTCCCTTTGTCATTGAATAAAAATTTATCTCTGATTTTTTCTTGGAAATCCTCTCAAAAATGCACGAAATGCCATTTTAGAAGGTTCATTTTTCAAAATTTTCCGGGGGAACATGCCCCCGGACCCCCTAGGAACCTCGCCTCGCGCCTACGCTGCTCGAGGTCCCCTCAAGCAGTGAGAAGAACCCCCCCATTGAAAATCCTGGCTACGGGCATGCGGTAACCCACCATCTATCACATGGTCTGCGATCCAT